GGGGTGTTCTTCAGGGGGAAGTACGAAGCAGACAAGCAAGATAAAGGCAGTTGAAAAAACCAAAGCAAACATACATGAAGTCCCACAAAAGAGCTGCTAAATTATCAAGAACGTCTGAAAAAGGGAGTAATATATTAATAAAGTGTAGCTGATCTGAAGTGTTCTTCTTGATCAATGCTAAAAATTAAATCCTTTGTCCTATGACAAATTTTATGAGAAAAGATAATGAAAATCAAGCAGTATTGAATTAGAAACTTCTAACTACCTGAAAAGTTGAGAACACTACATTAAATACCAAAGAAAACAGCGATGTAAAGTGACAGAAGCTTTGTCAGCTGAACTCATGCTTACAATGGTAAGAAAAAAACCTCAACAGTTAATGTGGGCAGCAGTTAGGAAAACAGAGAGTTGATAGCAAAGAATAACTTACCAATTATGAAACTGTACAGTTGCTATGGTAAGGTTTTAAACCTTAAATGGTATATATGCACCTTATACATATACATATTATTACATGTATATTATATTTTGTGTGTATATATGTATATTTACATATACATATATGTAAAAATATACATATATATGTGCATATATTTGTACATACATGTATTTTTTTTTCATATAGACCTTAAATGGTGTATATGAACAAAAAATATGTTCAAAAGACCATAAAAAGACTTTTTAAGTATGTCAGGAGCAAAAAAAGTCAATTGCCTAGATTTATGAGTGGGTAGAATTATAAATACGGTCGGGGGGGGAAAAGAGTGAGTATTTATATGCTGTACTTGGAAGAAAGCAGGGTGAGACACTGATCTCTTCGTACGTCTGTTTTTTGTCCCCGACCGTTCTTGACCGAAGAAATGGCCCGAGGCCTCCTTAGGGCACAAGCTTCCCCCCAGATCACGAAAATGGCTTAAGGACTAACGCAGACCGCGCATTTCAGGTAACGTTTCGGCCTCTTTTGGTTTAGCCAGGGCGTTCCCAGGCCCCCCTGCAGCCACGGGGGGCGCGGGCACGCTCGGAACCCGGGACACGGGGGCGGCCTAGAGCCGCTGGCGGCTGCCCGG